CCATTTCTGATAGGAAAAAATTAGGACATTGGAAATGGTGGAATTAAGATACATCTACCGAAAGGAGGCTGAGTAGCAGTTTTATATAAGGGCTGTGAGCTCTCTGGAGAAATGCTTGTACTAATTTTTTTATATTTTTTTAAGAAGGGAAGTTATAGGGCTGTGGGTGTAGCTCAGTAGTAGTCTACAATGTGTGAAACCTGGCATTTCCCCTCCAGTACTGCTTAAATAAAAGCAGACAGGAAACAAAACCAGACTGAGAATTTAATAAAGGTTAAGACACGTGCTTAGCTGCACTACAGCTGGGACAATGGTTCAGACCCTGGCACTGCAGATGGTCTAGCTCCAGCGAGTGTGCTCCCAAGCACAGAGCCAGGTGCCAGCTGCAGCCCAAACACAAACCAGAAAGGAAGGCATTGTAATGGGCCTGTCTAGGGAAGGAGTTGCACCATGCCCAGCAGTGCCAGTGGGCTGCTGCCAGCTTCCCCCCGTGGTGCTCAGAGGTGCGTACAGTGCCAAGGATCAAATCATGCTTTGTCACATGCAAGTGTTTGTACATACAGCTGATATTTGCGGAATTCCAGGTAGTTGACAACCTTTTCTATGACATAAACATATTTTTTTTTTTTTTAATTTATTTATTTATTTATTTTTATTTATTGAATCACCTTGGGAAAGGTTACAAAGCTTTCAGGTTTAGGTCTCAGTCATGCAAATATCAAACACATTTCCCTTTACCAATACTCTTTTTTTTTTTTACCATAAAGAACCCCAATAAAACCCCACCCCCCACCCCTCCCAGTCCCTGTGGGGCAGATGAATTCTAGTTAACACTCTATCTGCTTTGATTAGATTCATTGTTTCAATAAAAGATTCACCACTATTATTTAGAGTTTACCCCCCCCTCCCAAATCAGACATGCTGAAAAAGCATTGTGACGTGATTTGCTTTCTACAGCTGGGTTCAAGAATTAAATGTTGGTTTTGGATTTCTGCTATTTTACTTATTGACCCTGGAAGTATTTATACTGAAAGTCAGATAGTTAAGAAATTGGTTTCTGTGCTCTGGAGTCGTGGCCGTGCTGGAGAGCCGCTAGTGGGGGGCAACTGGTGGCCTCGGTAGGGCGTGAAGGGCGGACCGAAACGCCCCCTTCCCATGAGGTTTTAGTCGCCCCCACTCCCCCGGCTCATACCTGCTGTCCACAAGGCTCCCATGCGGCCGCCATCTTTCTTTCCAGAGAGGAGAAGGCGACTGGGGCAACACCCTTTCCCCTCCGGACAGACATGATGGCCTGGATTAACGCATAGTCCTTTCACTTTTCTGCTCCAAGCTGCCGGGTTCTGCATTAAGTCCCTGTGCTTCTGGGGCTGTGGCCGTGCTGGAGAGCCGCTCGCGGGGGGCAACTGGTGACCTCGGTAGGGCGTGAAGGACGGACCGGAACGCCCCCCTTCCCATGAGGTTTTAGTCGCCCCCACTCCCCCGGCTCATACCTGCTGTCCACAAGGCTCCCATGTGGGCGCCACCTTTCTTTCCAGAGGGAGGAGGGCGGAAGGGACCAACACCCTTTCCCCTCCGGACAGACATGATGGCCTGGATTAACGCATAGTCCTTTCACTTTTCTGCTCCAAGCTGCTGGGTTCTGCTTTAAGTCCTTGTGCTTCTGGGGCTGTGGCCGTGCTGGAGAGCCGTTCTTGGGGGGCAACTGGTGACCTCGGTAGGGCGTGAAGGACGGACCGGAACGCCCCCCTTCCCATGAGGTTTTAGTCGCCCCCACACCCCCGGCTCATACCTGCTGTCCACAAGGCTCCCATGCGGCCGCCATCCTTCTTTCCAGAGAAGAGAGGGCGAATGGAGCAACACCCTTTCCCCTCTGGCAGACTTGATGGCCTGGATTAACGCATAGTCCGTTCACTTTTCTGCTCCAAGCTGCTGGGTTCTGCATTAAGTCCTTGTGCTTCTGGGGCTATGGCCGTGCTGGAGAGCCGCTCGTGGGGGGCAACTGGTGGCCTCGGTAGGGTGTGAAGGATGGACCGGAACGCCCCCCTTCCCATGAGGTTTTAGTCGCCCCCGCTCCCCCGGCTCATGCCTGCTGTCCACAAGGCTCCCATGTGGCCACCATCTTTCTTTCCAGAGAGGAGAGGGCGAATGGGGCAACACCCTTTCCCCTCCAGCAGATTTGATGGCCTGGGTTAACGCATAGTCCGTTCACTTTTCTGCTCCAAGCTGTTGGGTTCTGCATTAAATCCTTGTGTTTCTGGGGCTGTGGCCGTGCTGGAGAGCCGCTCGCGGGGGGCAACTGGTGACCTCGGTAGGGCGTGAAGGACGGACCGGAACGCCCCCCTTCCCATGAGGTTTTAGTCGCCCCCACTCCCCCGGCTCATACCTGCTGTCCACAAGGCTCCCATGTGGGCGCCACCTTTCTTTCCAGAGGGAGGAGGGCGGAAGGGACCAACACCCTTTCCCCTCCGGACAGACATGATGGCCTGGATTAACGCATAGTCCGTTCACTTTTCTGCTCCAAGCTGCTGGGTTCTGCTTTAAGTCCTTGTGCTTCTGGGGCTGTGGCCGTGCTGGAGAGCCGTTCTTGGGGGGCAACTGGTGACCTCGGTAGGGCGTGAAGGACGGACCGGAACGCCCCCCTTCCCATGAGGTTTTAGTCGCCCCCACACCCCCGGCTCATACCTGCTGTCCACAAGGCTCCCATGTGGGCGCCACCTTTCTTTCCAGAGGGAGGAGGGCGGAAGGGACCAACACCCTTTCCCCTCCGGGCAGACATGATGGCCTGGATTAACACATAACCCGTTCACTTTTCTGCTCCAAGCTGCTGGGTTATGCATTAAGTACTTCTGTTTCTGGGGCTGTGGCCGTGCTCAAAGCTTAACTATGATTTTCAGAGAGAAACGTTAGGTGGTTTACTTCCCATGGATCACTTTGTATATAGAAAGATGTCGCGCGGCCGCTTATGCGGCCGCGCGGTTTTGAGGAAAAGTCCTAGTTCCCGCATACTCGAGCTGTGCTTGTAGAGGTTTCTGGTCACCGGGGTTCCATCTGGGGGAGGCGGATGCGGTACCTACCCCATCTGGGACTTCCCGATGATCTCGGCTCTTTTTGGAACCTGTTTTTTTTTTTTTTTTTTCCTTCGGGATCTGTGGATCCCGCCCTCCATGTAGTCCTTCTCTTCGGCTAAATGCTGTCAAGATGGCGCTGGGGGGCGGGCTGTGGGCGTGACTTCCGGAATCTGAGGTTACCTGGGAGGTGTAGTCCCGGCATTTTTGAGGAAAAGTCCTAGTTCCCGCATACTCGAGCTGTGCTTGTAGAGGTTTCTGGTCACCGGGGTTCCATCTGGGGGAGGCGGGATGCGGTACCTACCCCATCTGGGACTTCCTGATGATCTCGGCTCTTTTTGGAACCTGTTTTTTTTTTTTTTTCCTTCGGGATCTGTGGATCCCACCCTCCATGTAGTCCTTCTCTTCGGCTAAAAATCTGACATAAACATATTTTTATGTTACTTTTGTGCTTGTTTGGGTTCCCGCCCCCCCTTAAATAAAGGAGGCGGTCTTGAATGCATTTGAACCTTGAGCATCTGGCCCTAGTATAATCTAATGCAGCTGAAAGTGCCCTGCAGGGGGAGCCCTCCTTAACCCACCTGGACCCCAGGAGCCCAGGTCATGTACCTGGCCACACTGCTGTGCTATACAGCTCAGTCCTTCTGCAGTCGAAAAATCTTAATATACTGGCAAGTATTGGTTATAGGCAGAGAATGTACAGTCATTATTTTAATGATTCCTTACCCAGGTTATTAGCTGCTTGTCTATAGCTTACGGAGTTGCTTGTTAATCACTGCCTGGGGTCTGAATGTCACATTAATGGCCTCCTTAGCTGCTGCTGCTTTTAGTGCTCCAAAAGTTATTCCATGAATAGCATCGCATTGGGTATCTTTCCCTGTGGACAGCTCTTGTTTAACTCACCTTCCCTATTTGAATTTCCCTGGCCACTATTGACTTGAAGCAGTTCAGGGTCAGGAGCTAAAGCCCATATAGGGAGATTCCAGGGTGCTGATGGTGGCCAGGGCCCTCTGTGGCTCTCTGAGCTTCTACCGAACTCTGGTAAGCCAGAGAAATTATGGGTCTTGAACTTTACTATTCCTACTTTTAGGACATGTAAAGTGGTCTTGTTTCCTTTTAAAAATACTGGGGCTGGAGAGATAGCACAACAGGTAGGACGTTTGCCTTGCACGCGGCCCAGCATCCCATATGATCCCCTGAGCATTGCCAGGAGTAACTCCTGAGTGCAGAGCCAGGAGTAACCCCTGTGCATCACCAGGTGTGACCCAAAAATATATATATATTAACAGACCATAAAATGAATTGTGGGTAGAGTATTATTTAAAGCAGCATTAATAATCTGATTTTCAAGTATCTCTGAACTGTCGCTTTGTGAAGCATGGTGGACCATTTTGGTCTAATAGTATTTATTTTGTTTGAACTAAAGCTAAAGAACAAAAACTGCAGGGCAATTTTGGAGGAGAAAATCAGTGTGAAACACACTCCCTGTGGTCTAGGCCTCTGCCCACCTCCCCACCCCTCAGCCTGCCAGGGTCCAGCCTTGGGGGTGAGCAGGGTGGATTGGGATTTGCAAAGGTCCCCTCCGGCTCCAGCACTCTCTGTTACTCTCAGGATAGGAGGCCTTGGGAGACCCTCTAAATATTTCAGTGTGTAACTAAAGTTGGTCCTTGTCTCAACACGCAACATCCTACTTTGGGGATGTTTAAAATAATGTCCATAGAATATAGATCCATTTCTTTGGTTAAGTTCAACCTAGAGAACAGAGTGTAGATGAAAAAGTGAGTCCAAACTGCCTACGGACACAAATTCTAAAATCTAGACTTTGTAAAGTTAGTGAATTTAGGCAAAAGAATGCAAATTTTAATGTAATTTATGCTGAAAGAGCAGGCAGATGTAGATTTATAAATCTACGCTCCTTTATTTCCACCCCAACAGGTGGGCTCAGTGGTGGCTGTGGGCTGGATCCGCTCCCGGAAGGCCGTGGACTGGCGCCTCTTTCGGAACATCTTTGTGGCCTGGTTTGTGACTGTCCCCGTGGCTGGGGTATTCAGTGCTGCCATCATGGCGCTTCTCATGTACGGGATCCTTCCCTATGTGTGAGTTGGCTTCTCCCAAGTATGAAGAAGAGGTTGTTTGAGGTGGTTTGCTGGGAGGTGCCTCCTGCATGCATGGGCTGTCTCCCACCACCTCCACGTCCCTTCCAGATGGTTCCATACCACACTGCTCACCTAGACTGCAAAGTCATCCTTTAGAGCTAACTTAAATTCTGTATATAATCTTGTGCATTTAACTGATGTCGTGGTGATATAATGTGGTGCAGTTACATATAAACTAAATATATACTGTATACATAGAGTAGGTAGCTTTATTTCATATTCAGAATGGGAGTGGAGATAACTGCCTAGAATAGTCATCAAATCTTTGTACATAGTGAATTTAGTGGAAATTTTTAAGAACCTTTTAAAAGGAAATTGCAGATTGGAAAATGCTATTTTTCCCATTTAAAACACTAAGAGAGAGGATGGGTGATACAGACTTTAAAAGGTGTATGAACATGAGTGTGCTATTGAATAATACTGGAACAGGAGTTCACAAGTGCTTTCACCAAGGAATGTGTTCATATACTGTGTATTGATTATTATGTAATATATCATAATTACTTCTGTAAATATTTAAAACTGTAATTTTTTTAATGCTGTGCTTCCCTTATACTTTCTTGATTAGAGAAATTTGGAAAGTACCAAAGAAGCAGGGGGGTAGTCCGCCAGTATTATATTTACATTTGTATGTCTCCCCTACTCATCACTCTCACACCCTCACCCTGGATGGGCAAGCCCTCCACGCTCCATCTGCAGGATCGGTGAGCGTGTGCACGTCCTGCTCGGGGCCACCACGGCTGCCACCTGTCAGGTACTGCCCACCCCACAGGGCCCGTCAGTGTGTAAACAACAGGATCAAGCACCAAGTCTCCAGCCCAGTTTAAACTTCTACCCCTCAGGTTCCCCTGCAGCCTGAAGAATGGAATCCTTGACAAAGCAAGTGCTTTGACATTTTGGGAAATTGGGGTGGGGTCTGAAATCTTAGGCTACACACTGGATTTGAGCTCCTTAGAGGCCTTCACTGAGCTGATAGCCTGCTGCAGCCCCACTAGGGAGAGCAAGGGAGGAAGTCTGACTAATGGTAGAGTCTGAAACTATGGAAATGCTGCTAAAATTTTTATATTGACAAACATTTTCTTGGTACTGCATTGTGATTTTTTCATTAATCAATCATATTAAATTTATAATAAAAATGCCCCTCAAAAGTCTGCCTCAGATGTCTTTTTCTAAATATCTTATATTTTTCTTTTGGAGTTTCCATAAAAATAAAGTCCATATCACTTGGCTGCTTCTGTTTCTCAAATACCTTTTTATCCACATTTACTATTGTTAGTGGTTTGTGCAGAAAACATGGGCACAGGCAGGAGTCAGAAGCCTGTCAGCCTTGTGCTTTAGTGTGGGCTAAAAGGGTTGCCCCGGCTTGGGTTTTTGTTAAAGAGATTTTTGCTACCCTCTGTATCCACCTACTTCCATTTCATCTGTCTGGAAGCAGAGGGGGCAGTCCTTCATGGGCTCAGGGCTGGGTACTGGGGGGGAGGGGGAGGAGGGCAGTGCACTTCCTTTATTACTTGGCTTAAGTTGCCAAAATAAACAGCATCCCTACTTGAAACTTTTGGAGAATGCGCCTTTGGCCTGCTAACAGGGTCCACAGTTCATTTCCCTCAAGAGTCAGGGGAAACTGACGAAGTAGAAAAGGTCCGCATCTCCTCAAAGGCCAATCTCCACATGGAGATTTTCCCTCTTTAGGTTGTGTGTGTGTGCTGGGCGTGAGGGGAGCTGGGGCCCAATCTCAGCAATTCTGGTACTGCTGGATCGAGGTGCACCCCAGTGACCTTCGGGGCCTGAAGGCCACATCCAGACAATACTGGGTGTCAAACTGAGGCCCAGGGCCCCACGGATGGCTTTAAAAATTAAACTATTTTTCATCTCACTACTTTTGATGCAACCATAATTCAAGAAGAAATTCAACATCTTCCTAAAGAAAAATAACAATATAACAGTGCAGCTTGAAGCTGCTCCTGGGAAAAGAGCTGCCACCTCAACTCTGGCAGAACCCAGCAGCCAGGATGGTAGGGGTCCAGGTCTACTCAGACAAAGGTCACACCTACATGGAGTTTCTGAATAACTGAGCATGCCTCAGGGGTGTCAATAACACACACACACACACACACACACACACACACACACACACACACACACACATCTGCTCTCAGCCTAGCATGCAGGATCAGTGGAATTCTTCTGCCTCAGGCCATCATACTGTCCTGAGTTAATTAGCCTCGTCACTGAAAACTGTACACACTCCTGGAAAAGGGATAATTTCTGTGTTCCTGGCTTCTGAACATGTTTGTCACCAGGCCACTCTGTCCTGTAAAGAGAACTGAACCAAAGAGCCCTTGGGCTCACTCCCTGCCCACCTCTGGGCTCCTCTCCAAGGGGCAAGTCTGCAGGGGACATGGCTGGCATAAGTAAGGAGTTCCAGCTCTGGAGACCATGATTTCCGGAGGAAAAGGCAGGGCTTCTGAATAAACATTCATTTTTAGCAAGGTAACTTTTAAAAATAAATCCTGAGCAGATACAGAAAGATCTCTCATAGGTGGGACTTAAAGATACACAGCAAGGTAGCGACCAAGGACCAAAGGCAACATAACAGAACTGATCCCACAACTGAGTGGGGAGCAGAGGGCTTGAGAGAGGCATTGGGGTCCTCGGGGGAGGGAGATGGGTACACTGGTGCGGGTTTGAATTATGTGCATGAAAAAAACATTATTAAAAGTACTGTAAAACACTGAATCAATTCAAAAATATTTTTTAAAGGAGTTACAATGCAAAAAATAAAGTTCTGGGCTGGAGAGATTTTACCGGGGGTTAAGGTAATTGCCTTGCACCTGGCTGACCCAGATTAGGTCGCCCAGTACTGTATATGGTCCCCTGAGCCCCACCAAGAATGATCTCCAAGCACAGAGCCAAGAGTCAGTCCTAAACACTGCCGGGTGTGGCCACAAAAACTAAAATAAGGCCTTCCCTTCCCCCCGGAATAGGCATCAGAAAAATATTTAAAGCCATCCATCATTCAGAAAATAGTGAACTGTAAGACAGCAAATTAGTGAGGTCAGTCATCAAGGCAGAAAAGGGCTTCAGGAGCTCACGCAATGCTTGTTGAGTCCTCCGGTGAAACTCTGCTTACCATAGGAGCACCTGATTGCCAATGGCCTGGAATCGGCGTGTGCATGAGCACCAGTCTTGCATATGGGAGAACATGAGGGCTCTACATGTTCCCAGGAGACAGTGGAAAGATAGGAACCATCTCTGGTTCTTGAATTAGCTCTCAAATAGGACTCCACTAACAAGTGTTGTCCTCCCTTGGTAGATAAATCAGACTTGGAAAATAAAACAAGTTGCTGAAAAAGACGAAAATAGGGTTTTAGCTAGAACCTAAAACTGCATAATGCGTCTCTGCTTACTTGTGGAGGAAAGTAGATTAGTGGTGTGATATTTTCATTAAGAGGAAATGTAGAGCTGTTTGGGGGCTAAAAGTTACCCTCATTAATATCCAGGATATACAAGACACTAGTAGAATTGTACAAGAAAAAACCTCCAACCCCATCAAAAAATGGGGAGAAGAAATGAACAGAATTTTCCTCAAAAAGAAATACAAATGGCCAAAAGGCATATGAAAAAATGCTCCACATTGCTAGCCATCAGGGAGATGCAAATCAAAACAACAATGAGATATCATCTCACACCACAGAGACTGGCACACATTCAAAAGAACAAAAGCACCAGTGCTGGTGTGGATGTGGGGAAAAAGGGACACTCTTTCACTGTTGGTGGGAATGCCCACTAGTCCAGCCTTTCTGAAGAACAATATGGACAGTCCTTCAAAAACTAGAAATTGAGCTTCCATATGACCCCGCAATACCACTTCTGGGAATATATCCCGAGGATGCAAAAAAGCACAGTAGAAATGACATCTGTATCTATATGTTCATTGCAGCAGTGTTCACAATAGCCAAAATCTGGAAACAACCAAAGTGCTTTACAACAGATGACTGGTTAAAGAAACTTTGGTACATCTACACAATGGAATACTATGCAGCTGTCAGGAGAGATAAAGTCATGAACTTTGCTTATTAATGGATCGACATGGAGAGTATCATGTTAAGTGAAATGAGTCAGAAAGAGAGGGACAGACATAGAAGGACTGCACTCATTTGTGGAGTATAAAACAACATAACATGAGGCTGACAACCTAAGGATAGTAGATACATAGGACAGATAGATTGCTCCATGGTTGGAAGCCTGCCTCATGAGCAAAGGGGAGAAGGCAGCTGGAATAGAGAAGGGATCACTAAGAAAAAGATGGCTTGAGGAATCGGTCGGGATGGGAGATGTGTGCAGAAAGTAGATAAAGGTCCAAACATGATAACCTCTCAGGATCTGTATTGCAAACCTTAATGCCCAAAAGTAGAGAGATTATGGGAAATCATGTCTGCCATGGAGGAAGAGGGAGGTTGGGAAAGGGGAGTTATACCAGGGATATTGGTGGTGGGGAATGTGCACTGGTGGAGGGATGGGTGCTTGATCATTGTGTGATTGTAACCCAAACATGAAAGCTTGTAACTATCTCATGGTGATTCAATAAAATTTTTTTAAAAAGTTACCCTCTTATAAACTTTTCATCTTTTGTTATTGAAAATACAATCTCGAAGCCTATTATGTAAAAGAAAATAGTCTGTTATAACCTATCACTCCACTACAATCCTTTTTTGAGACACTGGTTTAAAAAAACCTGGAGTTCCCCAGGCACTTGGGAAACAAAGGCCCAGGCACTAGGGAAACAAAGGCCCAGAATGAGAAAAAGTGTCGGCATCAAATGGTAACAAGGCTCCCAAGCTTTCAGACTGTCTCCATTCAGGCCTCCAGGAGGAGAGGCCTATGGGGAAGACTGAAGGATGAACACAAATAGGTGATGAACTTGGGAAAGGGCCAGGGACATCTCATGGTAGAGCTCTTGCATGGCATGTGTGAGTCCCTGCATTCAAATTCAGCACCACAAACAGATTTTTTTAATTTATTTTTTTATTAGTGAAACACCATGAGGTACAGTTATAGACTTACAAATTTTTGTGCTTGGGTTTCAGTTATGCAATGATCAAGTACCCATTCCTCTACCAGCGCCCATCCTCCACCATCACGGGACCCAGCATCCCTCCCACCCCACCATCCCACCCTGCCTCTGTGGCAGGGCATTCCCCCTTGTTCTTTCTATCTTCTTTTGGGTCCAGTGTTTTGCAAGAGAGGCACTGAGTGGCTATCATGTTTGGTCTATAGTCTACTTTCAGCATACTTCTCCCACCCTGGGAGGATCCTCATAACACCCTTTATTTGGTGCTCTCTTCTCTATCTGAGCTTCCTTTTCCCCTAGCACGAGTGGCTGGCCTCTAAGTCATGGAGCAAAATTCCTGGTACTAATCTCAGCCACTCCTGGGTGTTAGTCTCCCATTTTGTTGCTTTATGTTCCCCAGATGAATGCAATCTGTGTCTATCCCACTCTTTCTGACTCATTTCGTTTAACATGATACTTTCCATGTAGTACCACGTGTATGTAAGTTTCATGACTTCATCTTTTCTAACAGCTACATAGTACTCCATACCACAAACAGATTTTTAAAACTTAGGAAAGAATGCTGATGGAGAAAGGGTGATAGATTTCTTTTGCCTGTTTATATAGACATACATATCTGAGTTGAGGTAAGGAACTTTAGACTCAAAAGGGTAATCAGTTGTTCACTTCACTGTCTGGAGTGAAATGAAACCTACTTTAAACACAGCACAAGAATTTAGAACAGCAGGATGGAGAACTTCTTTTTCCCCCAATCTGAGAGGCTAAAACTGACCTTAGAGATTCCAAACTGAATGGAGGAGGAAGAGAGGGGGTCAAAAGGAAGGGCCTGGCAGGCCATCCCCAGAACCAGAAGGCAGGAACCGCAGGCCCAGCAGTCCCCCTCTGCTGGCCAACCCCAAGCAGAAGGCCGGGCCTCACGCCCAGCAGTCACCCTCTGCTGGCCGCTACAACAGCGGCACCCAGTGAGACCTAGTTTAATCACAAGTATGCTCATTTTTCTAACTGAATTTAATTGCAGTTGACAAGCTACCTGGGAAAACTGTTTGAAAGCCAATGCAGGCCCACATGCCTGATGGCCCATTTTCATTTATTCAGAATATTGAGCATGTGCCAAGTGATCAATGAGGGTAGAAAGAAAACACGGCAGACTAAACATT